CCCCAGAGATTCAGGTGAACTCCACCCTCTGCATGTATACCACCCTCGGGTGCCCTCCATGACTTCTTTGGCCATGTCCGGCCTGTCCCCAAGTGCATATGGAGAGGGCATGGACACAGCAAGTGACTCCACTCCTGCTGTGAATTGGCTGACAAGCACTGGGTTATCTTTTCCTTCCCAATTCTCGTGAGTCATCAGGAGGCGGGGCTGAAAAGTCAACATCACAGGAGTCATGAGACGGAGGGAGGTCGGTAGATCTTTCTACTTCTTTTGCTCTGGGAAGAGCCACTTTGCAGGGTGCCAGGCCAACGGTGTCCCTCAGGGAGCCGCAAGAAAAATGAGCCCCAGGAGATTACTCCTTGTTTTTGGTTGAAAGGTTATCGTGTGAGGCTCAAGCTTGGATCATGTTCCTTTTCCAACGATTTATTTGTATATAAGAAGAAAAATAGGATGAGAGTGGTGAAGCATCGTCAGTCTCTCCTTCTGAGTCGTTCCAATTCTTGATGCTGCTCTGGTTTGGTCTTTCTGAGTGGCCCCGGTCTCCAGCCAGCTCAGTGGCAGGAGGACAAAGGGCTGGCGGCAAGGCCACGTATTTTGAAATGATCCACTGGCGAGCAGGGAGGCCTCTGGGAAATGTTTGTCTACACAGACATTCCTGGTGGACTGGGGTCTCAAAGCAGCAACGCAAGAGCCATTCAGACAAATGGGGGATTTGGCTCATGGAGCTTGAACTCAACGTCATCGATAGCTTCAGAGCCACCAGTATCAGAACAAGTCTTGCAACTAGCTTAGTCCAAGGAGGGACGATCCTAGTTCCTGGAGGCAGGGAAACAAAAGAGCACTGTTCTCCTGAGGTGGGACAGGGGCCAAGGAGGAGAGCCGAGGAATGACAGGCAGGCACCAATCTTTTCCCATCCAACTGTGAATGAAAGTCATGCTCCCATCCTGGAATCCAGGCTGTCCTTTCCCTGAGCCTTAAGATTTCTTTAGGTGGGGGGCGGTGGGGGGGAATGAAATCACTATTCATTTTTCAGAAGTCAAATTCTTCATTCTTAAGTTATGATGGGGCCATTTTTCTTTAGGTCATCTTTTTTTTTTTTGTTCTTCTAAAAGGACATTGGTGCCCTGAAGACTGTTGAGCTAAAGGAAATCTTTCTGAGCCCTGTTGCTTCTTCCAGAGGAAGGGTGGGCGGGAGACTGTGTGTCTGCCGCTGTTCACTTGGGTCATGTCGGTCTCTCAGAATGAACCCAATGTTCCTCATCCCCACGGAGCTTCCCTCGCCACTTGTCCGACTTTCAAATTTGGTTTGCTTTTGCTTTCCAGTTGCCGCATGGGACCGATGAAAACTGGCTGCAGAAGCTGTATAATCATTTTGCCAACAAGAACACCTTGTTTGAAAAGCCCAGAATGTCCAACACATCCTTCATCATCCAGCACTTTGCTGACAAGGTACCAGCCCCGGAGCCATTCCCTGCAAAGAGCAGGCAGGACCCAGCCTTTGTGGCTGGATTCAGAGCGAAATGTGCGTTGAAGAAGGGTACATTCTGTCTTCTGTTTCCACCTCAGATGTGACCAAATCAGAATCTGTAGGTTAACCAGCTCCTCACATCCAATTGAGTGTATTTGGGGTGGAAATGCACATTCTTAGCAGGGCCCTAACCAGAATGGACCAGTTTGAAGCCACAAGTTTCAGCTCACGGATTAGTTATCCATTGCTCATTCTTAAAAAAAAGGACACAAAGCAAGAAGCCAGTGGGACTGAAGTGCCTCTTTAGAAGCCCCCAATTCCGTTCTCCGCACAGGTGGAGTACAGATGTGAAGGTTTTCTTGAGAAGAACAGAGACACCGTCTACGACATGCTGGTCGAAATCCTGAGAGCAAGCAAGGTTGGTAAAGGTCCCGAGAAGTGGTTCACGGCACCCAGTGTGCCGTGCACGTGGATCGAGTGGTGTGTGTGTGTGTGTGCACATACACTCTGGGCAGTAGCAAGTTGCATATATACCAAAAAATGACCATTGAGACTAAAATGCTTTTCTGGTTTCTGGAAGCATGTACATCTCTGCTATGCAGAAAGCACAGGCATCAGAGAGGAAACGGAGCTCTTCTGACCACTGAAAGAACCACAATGCACACTTCGTTCATACGGTCAGCTGTTACAGAGCCGCGGGGTCCCAGGGGTCCGGCAGCACTTCCTGGATTCTGGTGGTATAAAGGTCAACGAGGCAGGCAGGGCTCCCACCCCCACAGTGTTAGCCAG